GGACTTGTAGGATCTGGTACAAAAGGTGACGAACTTGAGGTTGGGGTTGGAATAGGAATATGCATTAAATCTATTGATGGAGATGGTGAATTCACTGAGACAGGAGATGGAGAATCAATTAAGAAACGCTAATATACTAGCATTGGAGGATGACAAAGACCCGTTTGTCTTATAAGGGTACAAATTCTCATCAAACACAACATGCCTAGATACCAACATTCTGTGGGTTTTAGGATCAAAACATTTATACCCTTTATGCCGATCACTGTAACCTACAAACACACAAGGAACGGTTTTAGGATCAAATTTACTCTTTTTGGTGTTCCATGTATATGGATAACATCTTGAACCAAACACCCGTAAAATAGAATAGTTAGGATTAGCACCATGTAAACGAAAATAAGGACAATCAAAATTAAGAGAGGAAGAAGGCAAACGATTGATTAAAAATGCTGCAGTGGTGAAGGCTTCGACCCATAGAAAAGTAGGTGCCCCACTGTGAAAGATCATAGTCATCCCGAGTTCTCTAATAGTGCAGTGACGACGTTCAACAATTCCAGTTTGTTCCGGTGTATGTGGACAAGAAACCTGATGAATGATTCCCTGTTGCTGAAAGTGTAAAGAAAGTCTTCTATTCACAAATTCACCACCACCATCAGAATGAAAAATTTTGATTTTCTTATCAAATTGACGTTGCACATAACTTTCAAAAGATAAGTAAACATCAATAAAGTCAGACTTGGCATGAAGAGGAATTATCCAAATATAATGAGAATAATCATCCACAAGACAAGCATAATATCGAAATTTACCAAGAGATAGAATAGGGGCTGGTCCGCAAATGTCACAATGAATTTTTTCAAAAACACCAGTACTGCAAGAAGAAGATGAACTAAAAGGTAGTTTGCTAAGTTTGCCTAATTGACAACTTTCACAAACAATGTCCACCTTGTTATTTGAACTAACATGAATTAAATTCTTAGTACGTAATAATTGAACAGTTGATTTTTGCAGATGTCCAAGACGTTGGTGCCACAGCTCTTCAGTCCCTGAGTTTTGTCTATTGGAAAAGTTTGCTTCCTTTGGTTTGGACAAAACATAAAGATCCCCTTTACGTTGACCTACTATTATGGCTCGACCTGTTGCTCGTTCCTTAATGCAGAAAATCTTATCAGTAAATTCACAATTTAAGGGATATTGTGATGTTAACTGACTGATAGAGAGTAAATTACGAGTTAATTGGGGTACATGAAGGACATCACGGAGTAATAAATCATTCTTACCATTAGAAACTACAACATCCCCAATAGCATTTATCTTTAAGTGAGAACCATCACCAATGAATACTGAATCATGACCAGCATGTTTTTTAAGATTTTGTAGCATACCTGGGTTTGCAGTCATATGATTTGAAGCTCCAGTATCAGTTGTCCACTCGACATCTGGAACTGATGTATCCATGGTGAGAGCAGCAAGAGCTTGAGGAAGATCCTCATCATTTACTGATTGATTTGGTAGACTCCAACATATTTTGGCAGTATGTCCAAGTCTTCCACAAAGCTGACAGTGTTCGTTTTTGTACATTTCTCGTTCTGTACTTGTCATGCGCTGTTTACCGGGCGGTGGTGGTCGTGGGGTGTGATTGTTTCCTTTCTGCAACTGTTGTGAAACATTTCCTGCATAATTTGAATGCTGAGAACTATTGTTAGTGGCTGAAAAACCTCTACCTTTTGAGGAGAATTGATTGTTGTAACGGTTGTTGTTGTTATAAGTATGTTGCTGGTTTTGGTGACGCTGTCCATAAAAAGCATATGATGGTGAGTCTGTTGCTTCAACCCATGTGTTTCGTTGTTTGAAACCCTGTAAGAGTGACACTGCTTCTTAATATGACGGCATGGGAGGTTTGAGCATTGCCGTTGTGAAAGATTCATATTTCTGTCCAAGATTGGCAAGTAAAGAGTATACTTTTGTTTTGTCAGGTACCGGGTTCCCTATGGCTGCAAGACTGTCACAAATACTTTTGAACTTTCTTAAATATTTTGCCAAAGACTGATTTGGATCTTTTCTGAGATATGTGAGTTGTTGCCGAAGAGTAAATTCACGTTCTTGTGAATCTTGGGCGTATGCTTCTTTTAAGGAATTCCAAACTGATTGTGATGATTCAAGGCCAATAACCAGGCCTAATGCTTCTTCAGTGAGTGTTCCAATAATCTATCCACGTAGGAGACGGTCTTCTTTGTGCCATCTGAGGTATTCATCTGAGAGCGTATTTGTATCAGTGGTGGCTGCTGTTGTAGCATTGTTTTTGTACATGGCTAGTTTTGTTATTTGATCACCAGTGAGGTGTCCAACCATGTCTTGACTTTCAGCAAGAGCAAGAAGTTGCTCACGCCACAAAGAGTAGTTTTCTGGGGTGAGTTTGAGTGTAACAAAGTTGGCAACATTCAAGGAAATTGTTGAAGCCATGATTTAATTTGCAGGAACTCTCAGTTATCTCACAAGAGGCTCTGAAACCATGAAGAAAAAACAGAAAATTTTGAATAGACTTTGTGAATATAATTATCTCTTTTCAACGTGAGAAGAGAGTTCATTAGCTTATCATATATATAGGAATTTTTACATAAGAGAATAATACAATAAAGGAAAAATATAACAATCCCATATTTTGTGCTATCATTCCCTTGAATGCTGTGGTTGAATGCAATCCCAGATTGTTTGCTATGCAATCCCATATTCTTTGCTATGTTTTCCTTGAATGATTTATTTCCTTATTATTCTTATTATCCGTATCTCTCCACTCAAGTGATTGATTGTTATTATCTTAGAGCCACAAGGACTCGCTTGCTTTCATTTCTTAGAGTCGCAATGACTCACTTTCTTAGAGTCATCATGACTCGTTTTCTTTACAAATGGACGAGGTAGGAACTTCACCGTATCGTGAACGAACCTATCCGGGCACGGCGTCTAGCCTAGGGGTGTAAATGAGCCGAGCCGCTCGCGAGCCGCTCGTGAGCGGCTCGGTCAACGCTCGGCTCGAGCTCGGTCAAAATCGAGCTCGAGCCGAGCTCGAGCGGCTCGTCAAATAAACGAGCACGAGCCGAGCCTAGATACTCTAGGCTCGTGGCTCGTCGAGCCGGCTTGCGAGCCGTATAATATACAATATAATATATAATATTATATAATTAAAATATATAAAAATAATAATTAAAATTTAAAACTCAAAAGTCAAAACTTAAAAGCCCTATTGTTTTGAACATATCCGGGACGAAATATATATGTACAAGGAATCAAGGACTACTACTGTTGACTTGTGTTTTGTTGTGATTTGCAAACTTATTTTGAATGTTTTGAAGTTTGAACAAACAGACTTGTGTCTTCACTATCTTTTACTTCGTTGCGAAATTATTTTGAGTGTTTTGATTTGAAGTTTGTATTATTTATGTATGGATAAAACAGAGCAGTTTAAATTTTAAATCAAATAGGTTAAACCGTCAAATTCAAGGTTAAGATCGAGCACGCATTTGAACCCGAGCTCGAGCCTGATCTCGAGCTCGAATTCGAGCTCAAAATCAAGCTCGAACTCGAGCTCAAGATCGAGTTCGAGCTCGAGCTCGAACAATCGAGCTGCTCGAGCCGAGCTCGAGCAGCTCGATAATTGCCGAGCTCGAGCTCGAGCATCCAGTTACGAGCTCGAGCTCGAGCATAGCTGCATTTAACGAGCTCGAGCTCGAGCATACCCATGCTCGAGCTCGGCTCGACTCGTTTACACGCCTAGTCTAGCCGACCAAATAACCGTCTCGTCCACCGAACCACTCTCTTGGTTCTATGCTCATTTCTATGGAATCAGGTATCGAACTTTTAGCGTGCACACCCCCTGACCAGAATTCCAAGCCTGGAGGGCAGTTTCCAACCTCGTAACATGGGAATACACTGCGTTACAAAACATCGGATCTCAATATCCGGTTAACATCATCCGAAAGGACATAGTCCCAATGGGTCCTCCAAAACCTCACATATATGGATAGATACTATATATATATATATATATATATATATATATATATATATATATATATATATATATATATATATATATATATATATATATATATATATATATATATATATATATATATAGAAGAGCGCTCATATGCGGCGGGGTCTTACGGTGCGGCGGTGCGGTCAAATTCCAGAATACACCAATAGTGTTAACAATATGCACCAACAGTGTAATAAAAACACACCCCAATGAAATGTAATAAAACATCACAAAATACACCACAGACTAAAAAAAACACACCATATAACTCACCACCCCCAATGGTGTATTTCCGAACAGTGTATGGTGTTTTTACTCACACCTAATGGTGTGTGTTTGGTGATGCAGGGCTCTGTTTACTCTGTTTTGTGTGGTGTATTTCCTAACGTTGATGGTGCATATTTGGTGAACTATTGGTGTTGCCGCACCGTAAGAAATAACCTCACCGTAAGACACTGCCGCACCTGAACCCGCCTATATATATATATATATATATATATATATATATATATATATATATATATATATATATATATATATATATATATATATATCATGCACCAAACTTATGCATGTCACATCTCAACAACTTCTCAATGCAACAAGGTAATGACATACCACACGCTCATGAATTTTGGAAAATAATACTTAGGCTCACGTTGGCCATATATGCACTTTATAAAACAAGGTATGCTTGGAAATCTAATTTACTGTACACATGCTCCATTTCTATATATCACTGCGAACTCATCAAAGAACACACAGTCATGCTTGGAATGAAAATAACACACTCTGTACATTTCTACTATCAAAACAGACTACAATTTCCATTAAACATAACACACACTCTAATCATGTTTTTCTAACAATTCTCATTCACAAAATGCTCATGCTTCTCTATTTAATACTCAAATAGCATTAGGAAGATAATAACAAGCCAATCCCATAGGTAGTGCAAGTCTGATGAACTCAAATAACATTACTGTGAAGCATTTCATCACAAATCCTACCATAACATGCTCATTTCTAATCCAAATTCAACGAAATCAAAGGCCAAACGTGCATCATGACAGCCCCAAGGTACCGAGCCACAAGGGCCTGTGACACCCGGCCCGAAACGACACGTAGCTGAGCCACAAGGGCCCGGCCACTGCACATGTAGCCAACAACGGTCCTAGGAGCGGGGCTAGGGGAGCCCCGCCGCCTGGAGCCGTCCAGCGGCGGCCTAGGGCCGTCTAGCCACGGCTCCCCTCGTCGGCAGTTGGCTAGGTCCGTGGCTTCCACTGGTGCACACTGAGAGGTGCACCAGTGGCTCCTTCTTCACCTGTAAAGCCAAATCAGACAAATAACCACCTCCAAATCAACAACAACACATCATACAATATCAACAAGACATCCAATAGCTCAAACGCACAACATTCTAGCATTTCTACTCATTTCTAGTTATTTCACAAAGGCTTCACAGAGCCAAAAATTATGCTGGGAGTCCATGGGGTTATATCAAAAGTTCTTAGTAAAATCTTTCTAGGGATACATAGTATTTTTCAAAATATACGATGTTAATAACTAAGTAGCTTTAGGGAAAAGATAGCATAAGCTTCAAATATCTTTATAATCAAATATACACCTCTTACATAGTTATATATGTATATATTCTCAAAATCAAGTATAACATTTCCCAAAACATATATACTCATATATATAATTCTTGAAATAGAGCTTTCTTGACAAATCATAGCTTTTGGTAGTTCAAAATCCTTCTCAACATATTTATGATTTTCTTTTGAAAATACATTTATATATAAATAATCCTTCAAGCCCAAATAATATCTTATATAAACCAAGATAGTTTCTTGAAAGTTAAAGTTGCTTAAGTGGAAGAGACTTTAATTACTAAACAAGAGATTAGGGTTCAAATCCCACCTTAAACAATTTTCCAAAGCATAACACCTCAACCTAGGAAGGTTTCTGCTACTCCTCGTTGCCTGCACAAGAAGGAAGGTTGTTTTTGCTTGCACAAGAAGGCTGCTACACTCTGCTTTCCCCCAAACAACACAGGTAAAATCACCAAATATCTATACTATAATACATAGCATCACAACACCAAAATTTAGCATTTCAAGCATCAAACGATAAACATCTCACCATTCTAAACATCCAATATATAAATATCTATACACATCATTCTAAACATCCAATATATAAATGTCTATACACATGAACCACTAAATCACATAGCTTAGGGTTAAGTAATAGATTTGGGAACCCATGGGTTATACCTCAAGCTTCCTTGTTCTAGCCAAAACCATTTCTAAGCTCTTCTTCTTCACCCTTCATCTTCCTTCTCCAAACTAAAACATAGCAATAACTTCACCATTTCCACTCACAAGCACAACAAACAAACCCACATAAATACATCATCTTAACAACTAAATCTAGAGAATGGAATGGAGGGAGAGAGAATGAGGCTTACCAAATCTTAGACTAAATCTTGGAGAAGAGGAGCTTTCAAGATGAAGAAGATGAAGATGATAGGGAGGTGTAGAGAGAGACACGAGAGAGAGCTGCAGATTTTCTTGGAATGAATAGTGCACAAGGAAAAAAGTTATCTCTTATACTTAGGGTTTGGGGGTAAAAATGTAAAATAAAAGGAATAAGGGTCAAATTGGCCACTGAACGTAACACTAAAGTGCAATCAGGCCACTGGACCTAAAAAAAGTGTAATTACTCCACTCAACGTCTCAAATGTCTCCAATTTTACCTGATAGCCGGTTGCTAGCCCTTCCTTCCGTTTGATTGCTTAGCTGGATGATTACATGGAATTAGTAATTCTATTCTTTTATTTTCCTTAATTTTCATTGCTTCCAGCGTGTAAGAAATGGAATCAGCGAGTCAAACTTTGAGTTCGGACGACCACAACCACAACCTTTCTCTTCTTTTTCTTCAATTTCTCAAGCATCAGCACAACCATGGTGTCCATGACGATCTTGATGGGCAATCCGCGTCTTCTCTTCAGATCTGATTTGAGTTCGGAAACGGAATCGGCGTCGAGAACTTGGGAGGTGAGCGAGAGGGGTGAGTGGATTATTGGCTAGGGTTACCTGGGAGGCGAAGACGGTGAGGTGCGTGGTGTCGTCGGCGGTGTAGATCAATTTCTTGTTATGATATTTGGCAGAGAGGGTTAGGTTGAGCTTGGCGGTGAGGTGGGTGGTGTCGGCGGCGACGGTGGTGGGGTTGAATTAGGAGACCTTGAGGGAGGAGACGGAGAATGCGGGGCACTGGGGGCGGTAGATGACGTAGAAGATAGCGCCGGCGATGGCAGGGCAGTTCTGGCGAAGCCTTCTCTCTCATTCCCCTGTTTCCGGCGGTGAGCAGCGACGGGCATTGGTCCCTTCTCCGGTCTTCCCTTCTCCCGGCGGAATCTGGCGGCGGTAGCGGTGGCTGGATGGATTTCTCCTCCTGGGCAGTGGGCGGTGGTGTTGTTGAGCTGGAAGGAAGATGTTGGATTGATGGTGGTGTTGAAGGGTGTCACTGGTTCGAGTTCGGCAAGGCAAAGGAAGAAGAAGATGTATTAAAGGTGGATTAGGACTAATTACTGTGTTAATAAGGTAATTAAAGGTTAATTAGATTATTGAATAATGATGTTGATTAATGTTAAGGTTAATGTTATGAAGTTAGCACAGATTTTAGATACATGATAAAGACATTTTTTGAGATCATTAAAGCTTTTGTATTACCTGTTGCCATGGAAATCCATGAGAACATGTATATCATCGATCAGGACGGCCCAGAAGCAGCCCATGCAGAAGCACCGTCGGCAGTTGCACAGTCGCCGGTCGTGTCGGTGGTTGGCCGTCGGAGTCGGCCGGTAGGGGATGCGGTTAGGGTTGTAGAAAGAAGAGAAAATGAAGAAGAAAATATGAGTGGTTTGTTTCTTACACGCTGGAAGGAAGGAAAACAAAAGAAATTAAAGCAAAATAATAAATAAAGCCATGTAATCATCCAGCTCAACAATCAACCGGATGGAAGGGCTAACAACCGGCTATCAGGTAAAATTGGAGGTATTTGAGGCGTTGAGGGGAGTAATTGCACTTTTTTTTAGGTCCAGTGGCCTGATTGCACTTTAACGTTACGTTTAGTGACCAATTTGGCCCTTATTCCAAAATAAAATTGTAGGGTTCACCTTGCATCATGAACCATAGTCTAGAAAGATGATATTTGAATAACATGGGGTCAAAATAGATTTTCTAAAAGATAGTTCTAATTAAAACACTTGGTTTAGGTTTCACAGGTTCCTTTCCAGTTTCACTCAGATTGACTTTTGGATCAAAAACTTGGTACGTAATGTATCAAAAATCTGGGATTTTAGGTTTAAAATAAGTTCTAGTGTTGAATTCATTTAAAATGTAACTCAAAATAATTTATTCAAACACCAATTTTACCTCAAAAATTTTTATAGAGTGAAAAATGACTATTTTGAAATTTTTTAAAATCGAATTTATAAAATTAAATTTTGAATTGTCACAACAGCGTTGTGACCGAGGAGCTCCGATCATCAATCTAGGACACGATGTGCAGCTCGGCCAGGGCCGCTACAGTCAATGGGATCGGATCATGATCGACGATCAAATCAGAACTACAGTCAACGAGATTTGATCATGATCAACGATCGGACCGGACTGGGGCGCCGGACGACGAGCACTTATATGCACATTTTCCCCTTTGTATTTTCCATTTTCTTTTCCGCGTGCCACCGCCATTAACCACCAATTATAATGCATGCACTAACTACTTTTTAGCTTTCTGCGTTTTCCCTTTTCATCTACAGCCACCGCTTACTACTCCCTATTTCCCAACTACAACCTGGGTTTTCTTCGTCAAAAAATGAGGAAGAAATGTAAGATTTTCCCTAATAATATATATTGTATATTATATATTGGGGCCTTAATTAAGTGGTGCAAGTTGACTAGGCTTGTTAAGTGGTCTGGTTGGACTTAATAACTAGTAGTTGTTAGTCAACCAAACTCTGTGCCTAATATAACCTGGATTGATGGGATACAGGATTATGGATTAGTTAGCACATTCAGTTACGGTACTCAGACCGCTCAGTAGATACCAATACACCATCTAGGGTTCTGAGTCAGGTCTGAGGCAAAACATGGCTGACGGTCTACCGTTAAGAGGCAACACAACAGGAACATCAACTATGGCTGGAGATCAACACGGCTACGCTTCCGCTATCATACGAGGTTAGGTTTCTCGTATATTATGGTTCATATAGTTAGACTATTGTATATCTAACATTTGGTATCAAGAGCCTTTATGAATCTTTGCCTGGTTGATTATTTTGCCTTAATCAACATTAATGTATTTTATATACATCAAGTTTGTATATATATATATATTTTTTTCTACTGAAAAATTTCCGGCGGCACGAGTGTCTTCGGTTCTCCACTTCTCCTTTGCGTTAAAGCCGATTATGGAGTTGGAAGGTGCGTGAGATAAGGAAATTAAAGTTTTGTCCTGGATGCCTGGTTGGTATGTTTTGATCATGCAATTATCATTAATTTACCATATATTTTATTTGCTTTATTTAATTTTATACATATTAGTTTTGGTAAATGGTAATTATTTAGTTTATTATTACCCACTTTATATTACCTTAATTAATACCGTATATTATTTGCAAAATGGTAAATATATGGTAATTGCTTGTTTTGGAATATTGATGCACTTTAGTTTGTTCTTAACATTTGGCATTAAATTCATGATTAAATTATCATTCAATTTAGGGCAAATATTAAGTTTTAATTTGCTATTTGAATTTTAATTTAATGTTAAGGTGCAAATTAAATTGCTTTAAGTATTGCAATTTATTTAAGATATATGGGTTAATAATATATTAATATGCAAATTCAAGCATGCTACGTATATTCATAAATTATTGTTATTGTTATACATTCATAATAGCATGCATTAAGGTTGGATTTAGCATATTATTAACTCATAAATTCTTTTTTAAATATCATTCAATTTTGGATCCGTAGGTCAATTTTAGGCATTATGACCTACTAAAGTAGCTTGTTTTGGTTTCCCTTTAATTTTGAGCACATTTCAATTTTATGTGTCTCTGGAACTTTAGAACCTATTTTGAACAAGCTATTTGGGACCTATCTTGGGTCATTAAACTGTTAAAGTATGGATCTCATCATTTTGATTGATATTTTAATAATAATTATAGCTCCTTATAACATGTTTATTAAATTTTAATTATTACTAACTACCATAATTTGGTATTCATCGTTGGTAATAATATTATGTTTTGGGTCTACTTCAGTATTAGACCATTTTTCATCCATGTTATAATTCACTTAGGCCATTGAGGTTTATGAGCCTAATTTGAGTAATTAAGTGCTATAATTATTGTCTTGATCTATTTTGAGACATTAAGGATTAAGGATTTAATTGTTATTTTGGCCATTAAGAATTACAAACTATTGTTTAAGTTGATTTTTTTTTTTTTAATCTATCAATAGTTTTGCGAGGCCTTAATAATAATATTAACTCTTTAATTTTATGACAAAAGCAATATAGTTGGTATATTGTCTGTATAATGGTAATTTAGTTATTACCATAACTTCAGTCTCCCTAAGTATCACAATAGTCATGGTTAATTATTATGTGGTAATTGAGATTAGTATTAGGCATCCCTTAATTACAGTTTTGCCACTTATTAAGCTAATAAATTCGGCATTATTAATTACTGTTATTAAGTTTAGGGGCTAATCTCATTTTATTACTTTTCATAATAATTATCATTTCATGGTAATCTGCTATATTTGGTACATTGGCATGATTACCACTTCATTTTACATGACTATTAATGTTGGTAATTAAGTGCTACCAATAAATTTTTTAACGTACCATTTGACGCTGCATCGAGTTCATTGACACCGATAGTGAAGATTGGGAGAATTCTGGAGTTTTTTCTTCTCTTGTGGATCGTCATCGTTGTCAGCGCAATGGGTAGATGCGGTTTGCATCATTAAGGTTAGTCATTAATTATCTTTTATGGTTATTATTAATAATTAGTGCTACAGTTACAGTTAACCGCTAATTTGGACTAGTCACATATTTTATCTTTAGAAAAATGAAAACATTAAAAGTGCATTACCATACTTTAGTTTGTCATTACTAATGTTAATAGTGATTATAATGTTACTTATTGCTATTAATAATTAGTTAATTAATGATGACATTAATATTGTTATGGTATTCAGTTATGCACCTTGAACTGTTTCCAAATAAATTTATGTGACAATACTCCAGTACAGAAAATAATTTTCTTGACATTAATGTTTTTCGGACTTCAAATTTTTATTAAGTTTTCAAAAATTTTATCCGAAAACGTTTATAAATGTTAGCGGTTTTAATCATTGTTTTTTCGATATTTAATCTCCTACATAATGTGATAATATTATTATGGCTATTTATTGCTATTTTGGTTATTTGCAATTTTGCCATTAATAATAATAATATTATCAACTAGGTTATGGAGAGTGATTTTGAATCAATTTAGCAATCTTGGAAAAACATATTTTCTAGGCAATCGACTATTGCCATTAATTCCATAATTCATTTAGTTCTTTGAGTTATGATTGCCCATATTTGATCAAGTATGAATAAATGAATATTTAGTGTAAATTCATATTATTTAGTTGGTTCATACTCTTTAGATTGTTTTATGCATTCGGTCACATTAAATGCATAATATTAAGTTTAATTATGCAATTAGGGTTCATGAGAATTTGATTTACAAATGCTAGCATATCCTTTTGGTTTGATATTGTTTGAATTTGTAAATTCAGTTATTTCTCATAAATTTGATCTTTATGCATTAAAATATTTTCCCATGGGCTTACAGTTTAAAAATTTTAAAGTATATATTCAGTACATTATTATTCAAAATGTTGGGTCTCTTTTGGTTTGGACTCATCGGTGTTTGAATATTAAGTTTATACTTTAAAATCTCATATTGTAAATTGCTTTAAGTTATGCAATTTATTTGGAATATATGAGTTTAATGTTTAATCTTATGCATATTTGTCCTAAGCATAATATTATGTTTTAAATTATGCAATTTTATTATGCCTTTAGCAATGCATACTTTGAGATGGAATTATATTAGTTCCTATTTAAGTTGGACTTATGCATAAACTTCAGTTGCGGTAGTGCCTGAATTTAAGCATGTTTAATCCGCTAATTTAGTTCACCATTTAAGCTTTAATCATAGGTGAACCATTCAGTTTTTTGGTGTATATCCTCCAATTTTAGGTTCATACTCCCAAACAGTTATACATTAAGTATATATGAATCGGGGAGACATACTAGTTTTAATGGACATCGTGTGCCACTAGTCTCCTTAAATTGATACTCTATTTAAGGAATTGGTTTTCAGTGAGACTTAGTCTCTAACCGCCTTTCCTCGGAGTATATTTAGATTTTCCCATCACAATCTGGTATAATCTGTTTGTCAAAATTTTAAGTATTCCTTGCCAATGTGATTTTATTTCGGTTCATTAAAGAATAGCCAAAGCATCTTTAATTTACTGGAATATCTTGAGTTTTCAATCTTGGTTAATTAAGGAAATGCTACAGCATATTCAGCTACCTAAGATTGTTAAGTTTCAATCACATAAAGTGTAGACAATGAATTGATAATTGTCTAGTGATCTTATAATTTTAATTTGGTTATGGAGTAGCCACAGCATTCGTAATCTGTTAAAATTATATATTAAGCGGTTTATTTTGATCACATAAAGTTTTAGACATATCATTTGTGATTAATTGTATGTAATATGATGAAATTTAGCCCACAGGCAATTTCGTTATATTTGTATAATTAATCAGGATGAAATACTAGACTACGGTCATAATTTAGCCCACAGGCAATTATGTATCGGAATGTAGTTCAGTAGTTTTATCAGTGACAATAGAAATAAATCAATTTATTTGATAACTTCCAATTCTATCATGGAGTTTAATTTTATGATGTAAACTTTAGATCATATTTCTTAATTTGCCCACAGGGATTAAGAAAAGGAACATGATTAAGTTTTTTATCGTAATGATAGCAATGAATCTTATTGACTAAAACTTTAGCCTACAGGC